CTAAGATGATGGAGGCGTAGGATTAGCCCACGACCAAATTGACTGTCCTGGTGTGTCATACCCCTAGTCAGCCCCTTTGAGCCGTGTGTTTTCCTTTCTTTCGGTCTTCAATGAAAAGTCACCCTTTTGCATCTTTTAGAAGGTTCCACAGAGTGATTTTTACATGTTCTCTGCTATTTCTGCTAAATGTAAGGTGAGGGTTGGAGGAAGTGCTTAAAAAGTTGGGCGTGTTATTGAAAATTGTGCAGCGGTGGTGGTTTTCTCAAAGAAAATAAAGAAAAACAAAGGAAAAAAAAAATGAAAGCAAAAGAGAGCCACCACCAAAAATTTAATAGTGCCCATTAAGTAGTGTTTCTTAGCAGCTTGGCTTGGAAATGCTAACATATTATAACCTCCTTCGCTCTTGTGCCTAAAGAATTTGATTAATGCAGAATAGCAGAACGGAAGTTACTGGTTTGTTTGACTGTGGTTTTGTTGGGTTGGGAAATGTGGAACCTTGTGCTATGACTACCACCACCTAAAAGACTTTTTCCCCATGTCCAAGACCCTAGCCAGTCATTTGAACTTGTGTCTAAGACCTCCGAATTAGTTAGTGGTGACACCGCTTATGTGAACTCTAGCATTAAGAGGCTGCATTCATGGTGAAGAGACGATAGGGATTGAGAGAAGAAGCATGCACATTTTTCGCATCAAATTGTCCTGACCCCACTGGTCGAGAGTGAGCGATTAATTTTCTTATTTTCTCTATACTCTTTACCCCAGTGAGGATCTAGATTGCTCGGTCTTAATTCTGATATCTTGAGCTTTGTGCATGAAGTGACTGTTTTGAACAAGTGATTGAGTCAAGTCTAGGTTGGTTGGTGAACAGGAGAGAACTCTTCCTTTGCTCGACTTTATTGCATTCGAATGTCGTCTGTGGTGGTTGTCTAGGTTGTCATTCGAGTTGCCATGTGTTGATGATCGAAAGCCAGTATGATCCACGTGTTTTGTGTCGATGCGATTTGCCATAAGGCCTGCTTGATTGGAACGTTTTGAGCTTACCTGGTGTCTGACTTGGTTTGCTTAGGGACAAGCAAACGGTTAAGTGTGGGGGAGTTTGATAGACCGATAATTACACGTAGTTTCACCCCTATTCTGAAGCCGTTTGTGATGTGGAATCTCGTGTTTTAAGCCGATTTCACGCTAGGTTGTGTGTTTATGTCATATTTCAGGACCCGGCGTTGGAATCGAGGCGGAGAAACGAGTTCTGGGTCGAAAGGAGCGAAGTTGGGAAGAAGGAGGCTGGAGAACCAAAATACCTGGCCAAAGGCAGAAATACCCGACCGGGTATCTTCTGGCCATGGTCGGGTATTATTCCTTTGGGCGCCCCGTGAGAAACAGAGGGGGGCCCGAGCAAAAGGGCAGAAATCCCCGGTCGGGGATTATTGGAAGAGACCGGGGATTTTCCCCTGGCATGAAACACGCGTTTTGAATATACCCGGTCGAAATCCAAAATACCCGACCGGGTATTTCGACCGGGTATCGCGATCTGGCAGCTGATAAAAGGAAGAAGAAGGCCAACATTGAAGGGTTCTGAATTTTTGAGAGAGAAATCGATTCCTAGAGAGAGAAAGCGACGAACCAGAGGTCACAAGTGCCATAGCTTGATCTTCATCACCATTGGAGCCCGGCTTGAGCTTGGAGAAGTGCCGATTAAACGTCCAGGAGCAGAAATCCGTCTTCACAGTATGATTTCCGCGTCTGAATCTGCTTTTGCTTCTTTCTCTATGGAGTAGTTCCCCCATTCATCTGGGTATGGGGAACCCTAGATTTGTATGCTAGGTCTGATTGTATGAACCCAAGTACAGAATTTGTGAATTGATTATATTCGATTGAGGTTTGAATGATTGAATGACTTGAATCCTGATCAAATTCCTGTTGTTTCTGCTTTGACCTAGAATGAGAATATCTGCCTAGGTTGATAGAGTATCCTTAATCGAAGGTGGCGAATTGTTGGTTCTGTACCGAATTCGCTATTCTGTACCGAATTCCATTCGGTAGTGGAGGTTTGGTTCGCTAGGGCCTCAATCTGTTTACTCCGGTGGAGGTTAGTCGCCCGCTAGAGACTCAGATTGAGAGGGTCTGGAGACCTTTAGTCGAGACTTCAGGCTATTTAAGAACCTTCCGCAGTATAACTTTCATAAAAACTGAACTTGGTAAATTGCAATCCGATTTAACTGCAGTCTAGGGGGAACCATATCCGGGTGACCTCTCTTGACTTGAACAACCGTTAAACTTGCTTTGTGTTTTTTTTTGTTTGAATTTGCACTAAAAGTTCACTGCTAGATAACGAGATTTCACCGAGTAGTCATCACATCTAGGACCCGGGTTGACAATAAAACCCAAACCCGCTATACTACGCTTTAGGAAGTTGTTACACTTGGCCATTTTCTAGAGTGACAGTAGGAGTGAGTCATCGGGTGTTGTGGTTTTGCGGTTTATGGTTTTGTTGTGATCGATTAGAAGGCATGGAGGAATAGATTGTGTCCCCGAGCTCCATAAAGGATTCCCCTCCTCTTATATCAATTGCTACTCGTGCCCTGATTCGGGCCTAATTATACATGTTTCACCCCCGTTTTACTTAGGTGTTTATGCCAAATTCACTCCTAAAAGGTTGGTTTTATGCTAGGTTCCTCGTGTTTTAGTGTATTTCAGGATTTGACAGGTGAAACCAGCCTCGAAGTCGAAAGTTGGGCGAAAAGGATCGAAAACCGGGAGAAGAGGTGAAAAAGGGCCAATTCATAGCTAACCAAGGAAGTTCACGGTCTTGCATGACCGTGAAGAAGAGCTCTTGACCATGAATCGCGAGGCCTCCAGAGCCAAAATGGAGGTTACTGACGCAAGGTGAGTTCACGGTCACTAAGACCATGAACGAAAGCTGTTGACCATGAACAGAAGAGATCGACGCGGTGTGTTTTGGCGCACGCCTGCAGTTCACGGATGCATTTCATGGTTCATGGCCGTGAACTCAGGCCGTGAACTCAGCTCGTCTCTGGTTTAAATGATGAGCTGAAAGGAGGCGAGAGGGGAGAGCCTATTTTGTGTGAAAGCCTTCTTCAACATTCTAGAGAGAGAAACACGAACCAAAGGGAGAAGAAGGCTAGGGTTTTGTTTCAAGACAGATTTTGGGAAGATTTCATCCAAGGAAAGCTCAACTCAAGGGCCAAGAAGACTGGGAGCATCCTCCAAGATGGTTTCCACCTCTTTCGCTTTTGTTTTTCCCACTTGTAGCATGGAGTAGAACTCCTTTCACTTGGGTGTTGTGAAATCCTAACTCTATCATGTAGTTTTCTTTTATGTGTATTGGATGATTGTCATTGGGTATTGCTCAATTCAATGATTGAGGCATTATTTGTCATGATTGTGCATGCTTTTGCTTAGCAACCTAGGGGTTGTGCAAGTTTTGTGCTTAGCATCCTTAGGCTTGTGCATTTAGGTGCTTAGAAATCTAAGGATTGTGCATAATTGTGCTTAGCACCCTTAGGTTTGTACATGTTGGTGCTAGCAATCTAATTAGCCACCTTAGCCTAGTTTAGAGAGGAAAATCCCCCTTCCAAGGGAGAATCATCAAAGTGTTTTTCCTTCCGCTTTCTAAACCACCTAACTAGGTTAAGTTAGGGCAACCCTCGATGTTGACTTAAGCAAATCGGTTAATTGCGATTAAACCGTCCGACCTTTGAGATGAGTGAGGGAGTAAGTCAATTACCGATTGTCTAAACCGAGAGGGTCGAGTGACACGGCCTTTCATGCTCACCTCGGTTTAGCAATTGAGATTGTTGTCCCCGACCATATATGCATCCCTCTGTGGTGCGTTATTACCGTGCCCAAAAAAATCGTTCCAACTTACATGTCATGGTAGCAGTTAGGGGGAAGCGACACCTGAGTGATCCTTCCACAAAAGAGTTTCCAAAACCATTTACCTTTGCCTTTTGTTATTTCAATTAGAAAACCTTTAAACCAAAACTTTGTTGCTAGATAATGATTTCAACAACCGAAGTAGGTGTAGACGGACCGGCCCGGGTCGATATCTAAATACTTGCCCTATACTGCACCCGACTAGAATTTAAAAACTTGGGCTCTAGTTGGGGTTTTATTGTGGTGTAGTTTCATGCAAGTATAATAATTTTCAATAATGTTTGTATATAATGACTAAAAAACTTCTCATGAAAACTTAAACAACTTTCTTTATGTAAATAACTACTCTTTATATAAAAAAACGATTAAAATCTTTAATAAAAACCTAAATTTGATGTAACTTATTTATCAATGAACATGAAAATATTTCGGCCAATTGGCCGTGTTCAAGCTAGTATATGAAAGATACTAAAGATGCATTGATAAAGGAAAAAAAAACACCATAGATTGATATAAATATAGGAGTTCTAAACACTAGGAGTGTCATTTTTTTTAGATGGGAACTAGGAGTGTCATCAAATAGCAATATGATTATATTCTTTTAGCATGCATCTCTTTTATTTCTGATGGTCTTTCTAGCGTAGGGATGGTATAACATTTTGTTTTGGATTCCAAGTTCGGTTGTTGAGAATTGTGTTTGCTGGAGAAAGCCTCAGTTCTTATTGGATTTTGTTGTGATTACTTAAACTGTGTTAGTATTGGGTATTGTCTGAATTGTAGTAGGTATGGATACTTAGTCATACTCGACTCTTCTCGTTAGGGTTTTAACCCTAGTCTATCTCTATATAAGACTTAGCTATGAACCTGTCGTAAGCAAGCCATCACAATTTAGTCCTATAATAAACCGTCAGCTGTCATAACCATTCGCATATATGGGTCAAACACTAGCTGCCACCCCATAGGACCACAATACATGATTTCAAAGTAGTAGTTATCCCCAACTTGCTACAAAATAGACTCAACACAAAACAAGTACTAATCAGCTAAGTTACCCGAAGGTTCTTAACCCATAAACCTCCACATATAATTAAGCCATAAATCCTCCATCAACGAGGACTAACATTCAGAGCCTCATTCACGCGAATCCGAGACCCTTCCCCAATACCGAACCTCGAGATGGGAGCAGAGTCGTCTTCGACCTTGGCACCATTGCTACAAGTCGTAATAGCAACATCAAAGAACCCCATCTTCCTGCAAATCTTGTCCTTCAACTCTCTCACGCTGCTGTCCGACCTCACCCTCACTCCGCCTCCTCGATGAGCCTCCGACGGGATCACGACCACCACCACCTTGGTGTGCTCTGGAGCAACCACCAGCTGAGCTGCCACGTGGGTGGCGGTCTCATTGGCAGTACTCGGGATGTAGTGGCCAACGGTGTGATGATCTTCCATCAGCTTGCCGGAGTAGAAGATGCTCAGCCGTGCTGCGTCGACGTTGACGGTGGCGTTCTGGATGATCTGTTTGAGGCGGAGGACGGTGGAATCGGAGGGGATGGATTGGACTCGGAGTGGGTTGTCCAAGTCCTTGATTGAAGATCCAGAGAGGTAAAACGAGAAGCTAACCAAACGCATTGTGGTGGAATTATGTGACTAATTAGAGAGATACAGTTTGTGTTTGTGATGTGTAGAGACTAGAGAGGAGATATATAGGAAGGTTGATAAAATGCAACATGCATGAATGGGACTCAAACTTCCCATGCATAACCCGACTCATGTGTAATTTGTGAGGGGATATCCAAAGGTGAAATAAGTGCTAGACGTAAACGGGCTGGGCCTTCTCTACCGCCTAGCTTGCGTTGTTGTTTCCTGACTCGTGAGTGTGCCTAGGCGCTGAAAACAATATAAGTATTTTGTACTAAATGATGAATGAAATAATTGTTTTACAACACTTCTTTTTCACTTTCAATGGTTGATAACTTATTGAACACTAAGGGCCCGTTTAGTATTGTTGCTTGTTTTTGTTTTCTGTTTTGTTTTATGAAATTTGGAAAACCAAGAAAAAAAATCGTGTTTAGTTGGGTTTTTATTTTCTGTTGTGAATCAGAGTTGCACAACAGGGCCCAAATATGAGAAACAACAATTTATTGCTTTGGATCTGATTCTTAAACATGTTGCACAAGGGATTCCTACTGGTTGGGCACTTGATTTCATTAAACCAGACTAGTTTTCGAATCCCCACAGAAGCAAATTTTTTTTTTAACAGAGCCCCCCAACCCTACTTCAACTTATCAGCCCCCCCCCCCCCCAAACCCTTCTCCCCCCAAACTTTTCTCAACAGAGGTCGGCCGCCACCCTTCTCAACAGAGGCGCCACCTCCGCCTCACCTCCACCGCGCCGACCCAGCCCGCCGCGCCCGACCCCTCCGCCACCTCCGCCGCGCCGCCCTCCGCCGCGGCGCCAAGCCAGCCCTCCGCGCCGACCCAGCCCGGCGAGCAGCACGAAACCTCCGCCGCGCAGCCCGCCGACGACGTCCGCCCGTGCACCTCTCCGCCGTCGCCAGTCCCCCCTGCCGCCGCCGACGCTCCATAGGGCTCTGAGCTTCAATGGGAGTGGAATCCATTGAGCCATCTTCCTGAGTTTCCATCCGACGAATTTCAAAGAGAGGATTTTTCCCTATAACACATCAAAGGTATTGTTCAATCACAGCCAAAGCAAACTTGAAAGTGTAGAGATCCAAACTGTAATTGGTAGAAAAGTTGCCAAGATTGGTACCAAAGTACCTGCTAGTAGAGCATCAACGTCCGCCCGTGCACCTCGTTGCCGTCGCCAGTTATGGAGTGATAATCATGATTAGTATTATTTTTTATGTAGGGAACATGAAAAATGTTAGGTAAATTGAATTTTGTGAGACTTTGCTTAATATTGAGGACATATCTCTTTTTTCTGGTTTTTAGTTCTTACAGTAGTAACTAAACGCGTTTTTGTTTCTTGTTGTCAGCTTTCATGATTTTTCAGATTTATCAACTAAGCAGGTTTGTGTTTTCTGTTTTTTTCCTGTTGTGGTTGTATATCTGTTTACACAACACCACTGCAACCAAAACAACAACAAAATGATACTAAACGGGCCCTAACTCTAAGAAAGATAGCTTACAAGTTCATAGAATCATAAGTCATTAGTTCACAAAGTCATGAGTTTTTGAAAAGATTGAAATTCTAAATGATGTTAATTTTTCTTAACTTTGCCCATTTTAAAAGACAAGGTGTTTTGACTCTGCCTAGCGCCTACACCTATGGTTAAATGCACCTTTAGGAATCATCATTGAATACACCAAATTCAATAATGCATATATATAGAATACATGGTACAGCCTGGTGTATTCCTGGAGTATACTATACTCTAAGTACTTATAGTGAGATATCTCTATGTAGACCGTGAATTAAACCGAGTTTGAGGTATGATATTATACTCCAACCTCAAATGGATAAACCCCAGTCCCGATTCTCTAAACTCAAACTCAAAGTGCAATCAAATAAATAAAAAAAATTGATCGCTGAGATTGATCGGAGCTCATCGTAGTTTATCTAACGACCAAATCACCTGAATTATAACATACTTCTGGAATATTTAAATCTTTTTATATTGTTGGTTGAACCTATTTATATTTAAATCTTTTTATATTATTATTCTATGTATCTCACTGATCGGAACAAAAGAGTATTGTTTATTAGTCCAAAAAATTAATTTGTTTATTTTATGCTTCTTGTAACACCTGGTTCCTCCTAATATGTAAATACCTAAACTACCCCCAATTAGTTAACGAATATGATAATTAACCGTAAGGAAAACCCTAGGCAACCATCCCTCCCATTGGGTGTAAAACTAAGCATGGGTGCGGCCGCCAAATCAAAACCTTCAGCTCAATCACTAGCTCGCTTACCTCTCCGTCTCCATCTTCCCACATAAAATCCAAACCATGTCGTCGCCATTTTGATTCGTCGACAAACAAGTACAACAGGTCGCCGTCCCTTTGGAGGTTCGTTGTCTCCGCCTGTCTACTCCTTCCATCAGTGGCCGGCCAAATCACCCATCGACACAACGGCAAGGACGGGTGGTGGCAACACGTCAGAAATAGAAGGACCACGAGAAACGATGATGATTAATAGATGCCGATGGAAACAAGGGCTTGATGACGATGAGTTAACGATGCGGGAGCCATCGATAGAGCTTGCGCGGTCTGTTGCATGGAAACTCAGCAAACGATGAGGTAACGTTGAATTAAGGTGGAAGTTTAACATTATTTGTGCGAAGGGATGGGCTAAGTTCTAATGGAAACGAAAAACCAGTTGGGGTTAGAAGGGGGATGATTGTTTATTTATATATAACCAAAGGTTAAACATGAAGGTTAGCAGCGGGGTACATAAATGGTGGTGACGATTGAAGGGTGGAAGTGGGGAGAAAATCAATCAACAATTAGTCTCACTTTGGCTTTAGTTGGGGGTTAGCGTATGGGATAAAGGAAGAAGCTTTAGATCACTGATATATAGGTTCTAGGATTAAAGATAATATGTGTCTGCTAACTGCTCACATTCGGTGGGAGCTTGCATGTAATGAAAGGAAAGGTCAAAGGAGAACGAGATCATCATAGTGGATGAAGGAATCGACAAGGGGAAAACATGGTGTGTCGCGAACTCACGGCAACAAATTTAGAAAGGTGTGTATTTAAAGGGAGTTAGAGTAGTTTTCGTTATCAGTCTATGCATTTACGTTTATGTTATGTATTTCAGTTCAAGTCTTATGTTTCAATTTTTTTATGCGCTTTCATGTTAAGCTAAGTTATTTACGTTCAGTCTTTTCTTTAAGTATGCATAACATTACAAAGCAACAATAAACTACGTTTAAGACAAGCAATACAAGTACATTTCTAAGCTAATCAAGTTATATGTTTAGATTTTCCCATTGTGTGGGAGATCACCATGCTTACTCTAGTATGTATGGAAGTATATCTTAATTAAATTTCTCTGTGGCGTAAGAGATTAATTGAGGTAAGCATGTTTAAACTATCTATTTTAGCAAGCAAGTAAGAACACGTTAATAAGTAATTAAGAACAAGTTAACCTCGTTCATCTAGCTGCACACGGTCACCTCACTACCCATAGTGAGTGGGTATTTTATGCACGGATCCCCACTCCGAGATTGTAAGCAGGTCACAGACCCTCACTTCTAGGTTGTAAGGAGGTCATGGATCCCCACTCTTGGATTGTATAGAGGTTTGTACCCCACAACCATGTAAAGCGTGTGGTACCTTGTTTAACATGTGAGGAAACGATGTTATAAGATAGTGATCGTGGTGGTGTGCTAGCTAGGTCGAAGTCGGTGCCCCATTCTAAGACGAAATATGCAAGATGCTCAGAAAGTAAACAAAAATTATATGTTCAAGGACTCCTAATAATGTACCCCATAATGTACCTAAAGCTTTGCATGTTCATGTTTGTGCTCTTATGTCTGATAACGAACTTAGGATTAGGACTGACCTCATCGCCCGCGCATTCAGGGATTGTAGAAGCTCCATAAGTACACTCATGAATTCAGCAGTTCGTAACAAGAATCAATGGCTCTAGAGAACTCCAGCAAGAAGACGTTAACTTTGGGTACTTTAGTAGAACGAGAGACTTGATGCAATTTTATAAAAGATGGTTATTAAGACATGTATTTAAAGATTGTTATTATATTAAGTATTATTTAATATGTTACATTTCCGCTTCTTTTTGAAGTATATAATATTTAGCATTTATTAAGGGTATTTTAGTAAAAGTAGTGTTCGGCCGAGATAGGGTGTTACACTTCTCTTTCCCAAAAAATCTTGCGTCAAGTTTATCAGGAAAATGAATGAACACCTGCGTGTTCTCTTTATCGTCGGCGGTAAAGTATAGGTCAACACATCGAATAGAATTGGCCGCCTGAAGTTCATCTTCTTCACCTCAATGTGATCACATAATTATGATAACTTGCTACCGTAAGTCGTGTTCTCCAAAAAGCCACCAGAAAAAATTCCACTATGACAGCTTTCATTCTCCCGAATCCCTCTATATGGCTCCGCTTGGAGTAATACCAATCTCACTGTTGAACTTCTTGTTGGCAAAAATTAAAATCAAGTTCGGGTTTGTTCTATATCTATTGCTTTTTTAGGATTGTCTCTGATTATTCCCTTCTTTGTAGTTAATTGTAATCTGTCAATGCGGATAATTGATGTTATTGTTGTTTGAACTCGGTTTGCTCTGTAAACGTATGCATATGATTGAGTTTGACAAGCTGGATATATGTGAATGAGTTGAAGCCTGAAAATTTTCTATGGAAGCTCGAATCATGTGTTGGAACCGAGTGGCAATAAGAATCGTAAAGTGTTGGGCATGTTGCACTTTGGCAATTGTAATCTTCAAAACAAAAGCAAGTAAGACCTCAAAAATAGGGGGGGGGGGGGGGGAATACCACAAGTAGAAGATCGACAACCCTTATAGTATTGAAGCAACTAAACCTTAATCCTTCCTCCTGGTGGCAAGTACTTGAAGAGGGAGCCTTTTGGTGGCCGCTAGAACCAAGCTATTCGGCAGAGTAATCATGTTGCCTAGTTGCTGGCGCAACATTTCTAACTTGCTTCTTCCAACCTTTTCCTACATGTCTTGTACAAACATTTTCCTTGTCATCCTCTGGACAACTCGCTATTTTCTTCTTGTACATGAAGCAGCGCTTGGAACAGAAGAACTCATGGTTTTCCATGTATAATGATGATGCTAACCTCCCCTTCATATATGAACCAGAAGCAACGCCTGGACAGGAGAAGGTCTAGGCATTTTGGTGATCCCAACAACTCTAATTCTAGACATTTTTGTACAATTCTATTTTGCCTCTGCAGTAATAATACTTGCCGCATTCATCATAGTAAAAAGTATAATGAACCACCAACCAGAGTTTAGAATAGTCCAGCACGTGTCTGTTTTATTTTTTATTGTGCTGCTGTAGGATTTTCCAATCTAAGGTAGGAGAAATTAAGTCCTTTAATTTTTTGGTTTTATATTTTTAATAGATTTGTTTCATTAGTTCCAACTAATGTCTTCTATATCATGTAGTTCTAATTATGTGTTGAATGGGATTCTTGCAATAAACAAGGGGATAGCATTTGTAGAGGAAATTGGATCATTTCAAGGGAAATTTTAATTTTGAAATGTTTTCTTATAATAGGAATCTCCCCCCACCCCAAGGGAAATTTGATACGGTATACGATGATGAAAAGTTTTATATTGTATATAGTAAGTGTATGAGGTTTAGTGCTCGTAAAGATGATTGGAAGTATTTCAAAGATGGGATGGTTAGATTAAGGAGGATGGAGCAAATGTAAGATAGTCTAGTAAAGTTGTCGCTACAGTGAAGACTTGTGAGTTGAAGATCACAGGTTTGATCCAAACGAGTCATGTTGGTGTTCCCGAAGGTATAAGGATGCTACTGGCGAAGCCCCGTTAGCGTCGAAGTTGATTGCAAGTGGCCCCCAGGTTTAGTAGGCCCCGCTGTCACAAAGTGGCACATGAGGCTGAGGTTCCTGGGTAATAAAAAAAGATTAAGAAGGATGGTGTGTTATAAACAAGGGGTTCGAATGAAGAAGCATATTGAGAGACTAGACAGAAAGAGAGAACCAAAGTAAATTACTAAGATGGGTTGTCGGGTGGCTTTCAAAGTTAATTTTTGTTGTAAGCTGAAAAAGAAAGTTGGAAGGGAGTTCAATGCAAGTCATAATCATTGTTTGATATCTGTAGAAAAGGCACAATTTCTACGTGCTCACAGAAAAGTAAAAGAGACCGACAAGGCTCAAATTAAATCCTTGAAAGTAGTAGGCATCTGAACCAGCCATGTGATGGATTTTATGGTGAACCAAATTGGTGGTTAAAGTTATGTTGGTTACACACGAAAAATCTGTACAATTTTTGATGATGATTGCATAACAAAAATTTGTGACGGTGATGGTGATGTTGAAGCCACTTTAGCCTACTTGCGTGCCAAAGCTGAAAGTGACCATGGGTTTTACTACAAATTCACTGTTGATGAAGAAAGTGAACTAGAGCATTTATTCTGGGCAGATGGTAACTATTGCCAAGACTATGCTTGCTTTGGTGATGTCTTGGTGTTTGATACCACATGCAAGACTAATGCTTATAAAATTCCATTGGTGTTATTGGTGGATGCAAATCATCATCATTCTACAACGGTGTTTAGTTGTGCAATGTTAAAAGATGAATCTTTTTCAGTTACAAATGGCTATTGGACATATTTTTAGAGGAAATGAAAGAACAAAGTCTAAAAATTTTCTCAATGATGGAGATAAATCAATGAGGAAGGCAATCAAAGTTGTGATGTGAGAGGATCATCATAGATTATCTAGTTGGAACTTGAGTAGAAATGTTAGTTCAAATGTTCAGGGAGAGGAATTCAAGAATGTATTTGATAGATGTGCTAACAAGATCAAGGAAGTTGAGGTATTTGAAGAGTTGTGGAGAAGAACTGTTGAGCAGCTTAATCTGCATTGTAATGAGTGGGTGTCCAAGATGTACAGGATACATAGTCGATGGGCACATACATTCTTTGTTGGGAAGTTCACATGTGGAACGGGATTTGGGACACGTTGACCCATAGGAGTACATAATTGAAAGGAAAAATTAAAGTGTTCGGAAATTAAGATTCTCACCTATTTTATGTACAAATTTATTATACATAAAATATGAGGTAAAAAAATTAAATTCCTAGGTAATTTGAGTACAACTACATATAATTTAGACAAAATCTAGTGGAGAATGGGACGGGTTAGATCAAGCAGAATACCCATGTCGCCTAGCCCTGTCTACATGTAGGAATTACTCACTCTAAAACAGTTCAAATAGGTCGTATAAAACAAGTCATATCGAAAATTGTTATCCCTAATAGCTAGGTTTTCAAATTGATTGATACCATTTCGTCAATTTGGCAAATAGTATGGTTCGACCATGGTACGAGCAACATATGCTAGGGGAGTGTTAGCACCATACTAACACTTTTAATAGGAGTATTATAATAACTACATGTTCCCTTTTTCCTCTACCCTTCTTGTGCATTGCTTTCATTGGGTTTTATATACAAATTATATCAGAACTTAATAAATCTTAATATCTAGTACTTAAAATTAATTTTCTTACAAATAAGTCCTAAATGAAAGCTATGTTTTAGTACCTAAATTTATTCCTTGCATTTTGATACTTGTACTTTTAAAATTTACAGTTAGGTCCAATGTTATGAGGTTCTAACATGTTTTAATGAACTTGTATACTTTTAGACACTTGTGGTATTAATAAACTTGTGATTTGCTTTTGCAATGGTTTTATGCTTTAATGCATTTGTGGTATGCAATATGCTATATGAAACTTGTTGTCTCTGTCATGGGATTTGTGGTCTACATTTATAAATTTTTGGTGTGATGATGTTATGGTATGTTTTTTAAACTTTGTGGTCTGTTTTATGAAATTTGTGGTGTGATTTTATAAACTTGTGAGGTAGTGAAGTTGTGGTATGCTTTCTAAGACTTGTGGTCTATTTTTAGAAATTTGTGGTATGGTGAGGTTAGGGTATGTTTTCCAACCTTTGTGGATTTTTAGTTGTGTGATTTTTTATGTTTGTGGTCTATGTTTGGTGGCCCCTAATTAATACACCTCTTCTCTATACACGTAAGTTGGGCTCTTTCTCTCAATTTTTACTAATGACTAGTGTGCCCATCTGCCCTTCCCCTCATAATTTGTGGTCAACCCATTTAAACTAAAAATTCATACAAACGAAATGTTCTTATTTACTGGAAAAAAATGTTAGCGTCATGCTACAAAAAAGTTAGCACTCTACCTTATGTCGGTCCATACCGATATATAGAAATGGGAAAAATCATTAACATGAAATAAAATTTAAGCATATATAAAATATATTTGAAAATAATCTACTTACAATCTACATTCATATTTAAATAAATTTTAACTTTTCAAATAAATAACAAATACTTATATTTAAGTACAACATTTTATATCACACCTAAACATTTATATTTGAATCCAATAAATATTATCAATATTTACCTTTCAAATTTATGAAATAAATTATAAATGAATTATTTTCACTAAATGATTTTATTTTATTTGAAGGCTGGAAGGTGATGATACCGATAATATTCAAGTCAATTTCATAACTTGTATCAATTATACTAGATTCAACGAGCCCGCATTCCACCTGCGAAACAACCAAAATCCCTACTCTCAAGCTAAAAGAGCTAGATTCGCTTCGTTGTGTTCAAATGGTGTGGTTACTGTGGTAATCATATTTCTCGGTAGTATTTGGATAATTTACTTTGGTTAATTTGGATAACGGTTTGGTTTAGTCATATGTTCTCATAAATATTATATACACATACGTAATACTTTGCATAACCACTCAAGTCTCAAACATTCCTTCCTCTTAGGCTCATAAAATAAAAAGTTCAATATTGTTTCTATAATTTATATTTGTATTTGTAGAGTGTAGACCACAAAATATGTACTCCTTTTTTAGAGAAAAAAAAATCATACAATATGTTGTATAAAACTTGAAAGGAAGGTCTATTTTAGCTATGATAATTGCTAAGAGAATACGTCAATTTACAAAATATAACAATTTATTAGCCCATACCATTAACATATATTTTTGTTACGTGAATACTTCTATTGTCAGTAAATAATTGTATTAGTTACATATATTTTTGTTAAGGTCTATCTATAACTATGTGTTGATTATTATGTTTTGTTCATTATATAAATTGTGAATTGAAGCATTAATCGGAGATTTTCTCACTTAATGATAATGTGATGTTATACGGGTAAGATCATGTCCTTAAGCCCCATTCCTTAAAGAGGATCTTAAACCCATTTCAGCCAATAGGAGGAGAGAGATAATTATTAGCAATCATTGACTAACTACCACAAGGGCAAGGATGGAATAAAAGTTTTTTAAATGACATTGATAATTAAAACAGAAAATAGGGAATTAATCCCACGAAACGAAACACCTCCGCCAAAATCCATTTTCGAAATATACGATTCTCCACCCAACTCTAGAAATTTCCACCGTCATTGTCTTCTCCGTCGATCTTCATCCGAACCGATCCCTCGTGCGGCCGTGACTCCCTTGTTCGTAGTCCGGCCGCCCTCTCCCACTGATATTGTAAGGGAACCCGCAGGAACCACATTGGCTCAAGGCCTTCAATATATATGCAAACCCAACTCCTTCTTCACGAAGGGAAGGGGAAAGTTACCTACAACAACTGTACAACGATAACAAACCGAAAACAAAACTATCAACCAATCTAAAAGAGACACGTAAGACTGTACAGTAAAAACGGAAAACCTATCTACAGCTAATGAGAACGGTGTCGTCTCTACCCAGCTCTTCACTTGCTTTCGAGGGAAATACGACATCGTCTTCATCTTCATTCTTCAATACCCTCCATCAAGCTGATGCATACAGATTCTGTATGTTCAGCTTGGATAGCAAGTAATCCAATCTGAAACGACTAAGCCCTTTCGTGAACAAGTCTGTAATTTGGTTCTCCGTCTCAAGGTCACTTAACCCTATCGGTTTGGATTGGAGGAATTGGCGAACAACATGACAGTTGATCTCAATGTGTTACGTTCTTTCATGAAACACTGGATTTTCTGCAATATAAATCGCAGATCGATGCCACAAAAGAGTCTAACTGATTGTGGATGTTCAATACTGAATTCTTGCAGTAATCTCTTAATCGAAACCACTTCACAGGTGAGTTGAGCAAGAGCTCTATACTCAGCCTCAGATGATAATCTGGAAACTATCCCTTGTTTCTTCGATTTCCATATGATCAGAGAAGGTCCAAATGTAATGCAGTAGCCAGTCGTGGACCTCCTTGTGTCAGGGCAAGATGTCCAATATGAGTTACTGTAGCCTCTTAGCATCAGTTCAGAAGGTGAAGGGTAAAAGAGACCATGACCTGGCACATTTTAAGGTATTTGAGGATCCTGTATGCAAGCTGTAAGTGTGTAGTTGTAGGAGCAGCTTGATACTGGCATAATTGCTTAACTGCAAAGGTAATCTCAGGTCGAGTAATATCAGATAGTGTAATCGACCAACTATCTTCTTGTAAATTGTAGGATCATCCATTAGAGGCCCATCATTTGTTCATAACCTGGTCTTCATGTCAATTGGGGTAACAAGAGGTTTAGATGCAAATCCAGTATCTGTCAACAAGTCAGTGCAGTATTTCTTTTGATAGATATGGAGACCCTCCTTGGATCGAGCCTTTTCCAGTTCCAGTCCAAGGAAGTAATAGAGAGGGCCAAGATCCCTTAACTTGAACTGCAGGCTTAGATGGTTTTTCAAAGCCTACATGCTAGTTGTGTCATCCCCTGCAATGATGATGTCGTCCACATAAATAAATAGAGTGGAAATCCCATATGAGGTGTGATGAGTGAACATAGAGTAATCATTTAGAGATTGGGTGTAGCCAAATTTGAGAAGCACTGATGTCAGCTTGGCAAACTATTCCTTAGATGCATGCTTGAGACCATAGAGGGACTTCCTTAACTTGCATACATAACCAGGTTAGTTAATACCAGGAGGTAGTTCCATGTGTACATCCTCTTTAAGGTCACCATTCAATAAAGCATTACTAACATCTAACTGGATCATTTGCCAATTCTTTGCAGTTGCAACAACCAAAATAGTCTTGATAGAGTTTAATTTGGCAATTGGTGAGAATGTATCTTAGGAACTCAACTCCATAGATTTCTGTAAACCCTTTTGCCACCAGTCTGGCTTTGTGTCTCTCAATATCCCCATCAGCATGGAACTTGATTGCATAAACCCATCTGTTTCTTATGACCCTTTTGTTAAGTGGTCTAGGAACAATGTCCCAAGTTTTGTTTGCTTCCTGTGCCTCTAGATCCACATCCATGGCCTTTTTCCAACGTTCATCCTTAACTGCCTCTTCAAAACTTGTTGGAAGTGAAGTAGATTCTATAGCCAACACATATTTCTTATAACCTGGAGATAGTTGATCATATGACTAGCAAGCAACCAAAGGATATGTAGCTTTAACATGTGCGGTTCCTAAACTTAGGACATAATCATTGTACTTGATGAGTTTGACCACTTGTCTGGTTGGTTTTCTAGCAGCAATTGGGAGAGAAGGATTTGATGGAGATGGTGGAACTGGGACAGGAGACCCCATTGGACTGGATGGAGAGGAATTATTTTGAAATAAAGGATGAGGAGAGGAAGTAGAGGAAGGAATATTATCAGAGACTGGAGAAGGCGGAACATTTAAGGAGGTAATATTTGAGGTATCGTGTGCTTGTGATGACACTGGATCAGGAGTGTAGAATGGTGGAGAAATTGTGTCCGGTGGAATGTTGGTAGTATCATAAGGTATTTGAGATGCAGGTGTGGAAGAAGTAGTGGTAGGAGTAGGTAAGCAAGGTATGATGTTTTCATGAAACACCAAATCTCTCAAAAATAAAACTTTCTAATCTTGCATATCAAACAATTTGTATCCTTTAATTTTTGGTGGAAATCCTAAGAAAACACAGGGTTTAGCTCTAGGAAGGAACTTGGTTCTGTTGTGGATGGAAGTGCTGGCATAGCACAAACAACCAAACACTTTCAAATTAGATAGGTCAGAAGGATGACCATATAACACTTCATATGGAGTCTTGTTCCCAATAGCAACTGTAGGCAGTCTGATTATTAGATAAACAACATGGAGGATGGAATCTGACCAAAATTTTAAAGGGAGTCCTGATTGGATCTTAAGGTCTCTAGCAACATTTAATATGTGTTGATGATTTCTCTCCACACGAGCATTTTGTTGTGGAGTTCCAACACAAGACATTTGGTGGATGATGCCAAATTTAGAATAGAACTCAGGTATAAGAAACTCTGCACCTTGATCAAATCTGATTGTCCTAATAGTTTTCTCAAATTGTGTTTGAACCATTACACAGAAGTCTCGCAACAATTTTCTAGCTTCACTTTTGTATTTCATAAGGTATGCCCAAACGCATATGGATTTGTACAATGGTAAGAAAATAGAATTTGAGTCAATGCTTGGAAAACTTCCTTTTCTCGATCTTGATTCTCATAGAAATTCAGGAATTTCAGAACTATGGTCTTAGCCGAACAGACGAGATCTGAATTCACACCAGTCTGCTAGAATTACTTAACATAGATCTCTATGATTGGATTAGGTACCATCTGAACAGGCTTGGCAAAACCCTTGTATTTGTATAGCTTCTTCAATTTCTCGATAAAGATAAATATGACCAATAGTGGTTCGAATGTATATACAAAGACTTTTTTTTTTACTTCCTACTATTAGATAGTGCCCATAAATATAATAAAAAGTACCCAAAGATTCATAGTGAACTTCGATAGGATATTTATATGAAACAATAACGCGTTGATCTAGTTGCCACCGGAGCCACAAAGGACTATCTAGTTTTTTTTTGTCTGCCGATAAGCTCCAATTGCATCATAGGAATTACAAAACAAGGGTTCCTTTGTATACTTATTGTTATTCGTGAGAATTCGTTCATTTTGTGAATTTCTGCGATTACACGGATTATACCTATTTGCACCAATCCCTCGACGACACCCGCTTGTTAATATATAGAGCCCAATAAGCATATCTTGAGTTGGTATTGAAATGGGATCTCCCATAGCAGGCGACAAGAGATTCATATGAGAAAACATAAGTAAACGAGCCTCCACTTGAGCCTCCAGCGATAAAGGTACATGAACAGCCATTTGATCCCCATCAAAGTCCGCATTGAATTCCTTACAAACTAATGGATGTAAACAAATAGCACGCCCTTCCACTAAAATAGGTTGGAATGCCTGTATACCTAATATATGTAGAGTAAGCGCTCTATTCAGCAATATAGGATGTCCCTACATTACTTCAGGAAGTTATGCAATGATTCAGACTCCAACTCGGAAACCAGCCCTCGTAGAGGCTGTAAGTACACAGTCCCCCACAACTATGAATAGTATAGTGGGGTTGAAACACGAGAGTGCCCACTCTTTCTTTCAAGTAGGCCACTTTTTCCGGAACACAGTCCGGGATAACCGTGACCGTGTATATATCTAAATTTCTCTTCGACGCATTTAGGAGGGGGTGCCATACGCGATAAAATAAGCGGTCTATTTTTTATTTGAGTTTCCAATCATTTTCTTTTTTCACTCGCGGATACTGGAACGCCATTGGTTTATACTACTTACATACGAGATTTCATATGGGGTAGTTATTTTTGTAGTATGTTAATTAGGATTGTACCAGAACTCGACTAGTGGCAACCATTTCATTTCACTTAAACCCTGCTACACACTCAAGTAAGCTTCTAACCCCTAGAAGTCAAACTCTCTTTCTCAATATCTGTGACGCCTGCTAACGACGCCCTCTTCTACGCTATTTACCCTTCATTACTTCCCCAGCTTTGAGTTCAGTTCCTTTATTTGATCTTGTCTCCTAGTGGTACCATCTCTGCTTACTCTTTCTTCTTTCCATCTACAAAGTTTGCGTGCGGAAAAGAGAGAGCAGACGGTTCTCGGCATCATGATGCAAGAATGACATCTGAGATCGCTCATTCCATTGCTTTACAGTCATGATATGATAGGAATGATTCTATTTACTAGAAAGAGACAATACCTTGTTTTTAGCATTGTAGCTAGAAACAGCCAAAGGGCCCCAAATATCAACATGTATGAGCTCTAAAATATCTTTTGCCATTGAATGGCTTAAAGAAAAGGAAAGACGTTTTTCCTTGGAAAGAGGACAAACATCACAATGGCGAACAAAATTGAGATCTATACCAGGAACTACTCTCTTTAACTCTTTAGCTCTGAATTCAGAAGGATGTCCAAGTCGCTAGTGCCATAGATCAAAGGATCGAGGTGTTAAATTTTGAGTCTTGAGGGAATTGTCATGAATAAGTGTTGCTTCTATGGTTGAAGGTATGAGCTGATAAAGACCTCTAGTCTCTTGCTCAAAACCAATCGTTTTCACTGCCAGAAGGTCCTGGATAGAACAAATGGTGAACTTAAAGGTGAGTGTAACTGGTAGGGATTGAGTGAGTCTACTTATTGAGATGAGATTAAAGGAAAAGGTGGGAACAAGTAAGACTCTATGAACAATCAGGTTGGGAGTTAATCTAACTGTTCCTGAATGAGTAGCAGGAGTTTTGGACCGATTTGGTAGTGTGATGAACACATTCTAAATGGGATGACATCTAATGAAACTAGATTTTTAACAAGTAACATGATTTGTAGCCCCTGTATGTAAGAACCACACATTTACTAATTCCAATGGGTGCTGCTGGAAATATGAGGTAAGAATGAATTTACCTGCAAAGTTGGGATTCACTGATAGGTGTCTGCTGACTGAGTTCACCAATTAAGTATAACATGGTTATCCTTCTTGCAGTAGGTCCAAAACTAAAGGAGGATCCAGTTTCTTTGTTCTTTCTTTTCAACGTATAGCAATCAGTTATAACATGGTTATCTTTCTTACAGTAGCTGCAGAACAAAGGAGCCTGACTACCCTTAACATTCTCCTTCCCCTTTGATTGATTAGCATCCAACAATGCAACTGAATCCACCTGAGATTCCTGACCAGGTTTGCCAAGCTGTCTTTCATGTTGAATGGCATAATGGAACCCAGTTTCCATAGCTGGTAGTGGAATCATCATTAGCAGGTTGGTCTTAACTCCTCCATACGACTCATTCAATCTAGTAATAAATCGAGTCACAAATTCATTTTCACGATACTTCCTAACTGCGGTCTCAATGACACAAGAACATCCCTATTTCTAGGTTCCTAACTGGTGATGTCGTTGACATATATGTGTAGTTACTAGTTAATAATTGCAATAATATTATTTATAATTGCCTCGTAGCCAGTTAGTAAGGTGTAATAAGATGTTTTGGTAACGTTGTTGAATATTATAAAATAGTGTAACTTGAATTTGTTAAAAAGGTTGATGGAAACATCACATTAAAGGTTCCCCCATTAATAAATCAAGTAATAACATTGTTTAATAATATCAACAGGGATTAAAGATCTCAGATCAATTTTTTTATGCTGATTTTAATAACGTTGTTTGGAAATGTTAACAAAAGATGGAAAAAATTGATTTTTACCGGTGATCGCATTGTCACAGCGATGACGTTATTGGTTAATAATTGCAATAATATAACTAATAATAATTGCGTGGTCAGTTGATAATGTACAATAATATGGGTTGATAATGTGGTTTATTATTGTTAGAATTGTAAATTTTATTTGTTAATAACGATATCAAAAATATTGACACAAATAAAAATATTAAAACTATTTTCGTTTTCGGGCAAGAAAATGAATATTGAAATAGCTAATTTGGTTTGACCACCTGGTTGGAAATTATTACGATTGTTACTATAAAATGTTAATAACTTTGTTGATAAAGATATATACTAAATGATGCATATCTAAATGAAATATCTTGTGATGCATACTTCGAAGGGCAAGATGTTGAACACAACTTCGCGAGAAGTGAAGATGAAATTGAGGGAATTGAAGGTGGGTTGTGTGTTTTAAATATATGAAAAGCAACAGAAAAATGCATTGTGTATTTGACTCTTCATATTTCAGAAGTAGGAATTGAGCACGATGTGTCTCCTAATGCTGTTATAGTTGTACTAGTCGTGGACATTGTAGTTGATAATGCGTGTAAATCAGTTGATAATATTGCTAATATTAATAGATAATCTGGCTAGTACTAATCAAAGTATCCTTAATAATTGCAGCAATGCATGTGACTAATCCAACAGATGAATCAATGTGGATTAATTGTCGGTTTGTGTCAAGGGAGCACGTATAGTAACTCTGATTGATTCAGCCTAATAACTAGCATACATGATTGGTTGATAATGTCATTTGAAAAGTTACAAACATGAACAACAAATTTAATAATGAAATAAATTGTTTATAATGCCCGTATAGTAATCGGGGGAAAAATTAAAGTGGTTGTAGTGTCATGGTAAATATTAATAATGTATGAAGAAATGTTAATAATGATCACAGATTAATAATAGTACATGGTATTTCTGCCGACAGATTTATAATAACGCAGTACAAAAAAATTGATAATGACGTTCAACATACAACTAATGGTGAAGAAACGTTAATAATGAACACGCATTGTTAATTCTACACGTTCAGTCATACGATTGATTAATAATAGCACACAAGTAAAAATATTGAACATGATGTTGAAAAATATTACGAATGAATGAAGAAACGTTAATAATAAGCAAAGATTGATAATACAACACATTAATTCAACAGCCAGGTTAATAATAGCACACGCTTAATAATGAGATGTGTTATTATCAAATCCCGCACGATTGACAATAGCACTTCAAAATATTACAAATCATTATGAACTAATTGATAATAAATTTTATTAGTGAATTAATGTCGATTACCCAAAAAATTGAAAAAACAATTACAAAGAAACATAAAAGTAATAACGCAACATAACATAATTAAAAATCCTTTATGACAACATTCACAATACGAAAAACATTGACTATAGGGCGGGGTAAACGCATTGATGATAGCCCTTCAAAAGATTACTAGTCATGGCGACGTAAATTGAGTAAAAACGTCGTTTAGTTAAAAATCCTAACCACACATAAAAAACTCTCCAATAACATTGAAAGAAAAACAAAATTGCAAAACCCTACACCCATGCTACGACAAACCCTAATCTCATCAAGATAGAAAAGACATTCTTCAACAATCAGGTCACTGGTGAGAGGAGCGCAAGGAACGACACCGGGAGATGAAAGCAGGGAGACTAATCGGACGGGCACGACGTCAATAGGAGCGACGCCGGATGTAGGCTACGACCGCTTGGAAGACGCCGGAATTCGCAGGACGGAGACAAAAAAATGTAGTAAAATGACCGTAATCGTTATTGATAAGTGAAGGAAAGACAAAAAAAAACTTGTTTGGCCAAAATTCATTAATACCTAGTAAAGCGGGGTGTGTTCTTAACAAAGAGCGCACCCGACCCTATTCGTTAATTCTAAAAGAGGATAAAATTTGTTCTCGATGAAAAATTTGGATACATCGGCACCAGCTCGAATTAGCTTGAACACACATGAGGTTGGCTTCAATTGTCATAAGAGGAAATATTTAAAAGATTGGTACAATTTGTTCCCGACCAGAATTCAGCAACACCGAAACCGTGTTGAATTAGATTGAATACACATGAATTTGAGTTCAACTATCAAGAAATCATTAAAACATTTGATTAATTAAAAAAAAAAGTAACCCAAAACTTATTCTTTTAAAGAGTTTAAGGTCGCGACTAAAAGATCTAACCTCTAAAGTCTCCAAAATCATTTGCTTGCCCGACACAACAACAAAAAAGCGGTACAAAATCATTTGCAAGGCAGAGACAAAAAAAAAGTAGTAAAATGATCGTAAACGTTATCGATAAGCGAAGGAGAGATAAAAAAAACTTGATCGTCCCAAAATTCGTTAATACCGAGTTCAACTCACTCTATTGATTTAAGCAAAGCAGTCAAAATCAGGATGTAACCTAAAATCGAAAACTGGGGTAAAATCGGAATCATAAAATCGAATCGTAAAATCGTAGGATTTTAAGTACCACATAGAAATTAACATATAATAATATTAATAAGGTAAATCATTAATAACACAAAGACATATAACATTTAAAGTGATCATTTTCAAGATTAATGTTCCAAAATCATCCTTTTGATTGTTATTTAATGTGTAACTCAAAGTAATTTATGAGGAAGGGATAAAGCTCATGGGGTTTGCTCTTGTTTTTAATGTTGTGTTTATGTAGTTGAACTCAAAGTAGTATTCTGACATCTTCTATTAAGCATGATTTAAAACTAAGAATAAGTGAACTCCAATAAGAATTTTAATGTCATTGGTTTTGTACAAATATATTCATTAATCAATTAATTTGTTAATGATGATGTTAATTCTTTCATACTTACAATATTATGACAACTATTTTACCGATTAGTTTAACAAGGAGAAGGGAAAGGGATTGATCGAACTCTAAT